AGAAGGTAAATTAACTGCATTGGGACTTTTGCAGAGCTATACATTTAACGTAATGCGTTTTGATTTGTTGAAAGGTGATTATGTTTTCTGAACTGTTTGCTCCGTGCTCTGTTTCTAGTCAGTTTGCAGATTTATATATCAGTTCCATGGAGGGCTACCAGGATTTGGGGCCATGAAAAAGCAGTTTGTTGGAAGATAGGGAAAGCTGTGCCTGGGCAGTGCTGAGATTTAAGCCTTAGTCTTTTCAATACGGTGCCAACTCAAGATGCTGAAAATGGGCTGCTACTCTCGCTGGGTTGTGCAGATACATATTGTATGATGGTCTGTCTTTTGTACATGCTTTGGTCTCTTGTGAATAGTAACTTTGAAATGTTTATTAGATAATAACAGTTAGACTTCAGCATCAGTACCCCTTGGGGAACTAAAAAAAAGAGTCTTGGTTGAGCAGGCAACAAACTGTCAGTTTACCTGTGGTTTGGGTTACTGCTACATTTTCATAACAATCAAGATCTTATTTTTTTATTAAAATTATGAAAAAGTATTGCTGGAACATCTGGACTACTGGAGCAGGTGCTAGGGAAGGTAAAAGAGAGAAGTGCTCATGCGCTATTTCTTCCTTTCTACTTTCTCCATTTATATGTTTTACTTATATACTACTAAAAGTTAAATATCTCAAAGCACATGTGCTTTGAGATATTTACCTGAAGTAGTAATTTCTTGCGGTGATCATGTGATAAAAAACTACTGATGGACTAAGTTGTGCCATGTAGCTTAAGTTAGTTATGAGTTTTCTCTGGGTGCATTTGTTTGATCTGCAGATGCAGACTGCATTGCCAGATCAGGACTTAAGACATTATGCTCATCTAAATTGTTCTAAATGTACAGCTGAGGTAGGTTTGATGTTGTCTGCAAAGTGTGAACTGTGAGGGAGGAGAAATCCAGCAGTCCCTATTGGATTAAACTCAGCATTTGAAAAATCCTGCTTTTTCAATGCCTGACTGAAAAAAAACCCCACAGATGCTTTGAGCATTACCTAACTTGTTTTCAGGGGCTCAGAATTGAGATGATAGTAATATGGCTATGAAATCTCCAGGATACAGACTTGAGTTTTGGGAGAAAGGGTGGAGAGAGATTTCAGATGAACTATGAAGAGAGAAGTGTACTTGCTTTTTCTGTTTGCCTGCTGATTTGTAAGAGTTGCACAAGCCCAGTCCAATAATCTGGAAGGCAGCGGTTGAAATCAGCAAGATTTCTGCACAGTGGGTGGCGGTGCCCAGATAGGTACATACTCTCCTGCCAAAGGAATAAAAGATGAAGCTCAGCATCCGTTGGAAACCTGATCTGTACTTACAGATCGTTTTAACTGCCTGTTGGTGAGCACCAAGTCATCTGCAGGGGGAAATGTCTCTGTGTGCATGTTATTACTATCAGGGCTTTGTTTTTTTTATTTATTTTTGGCCTCTTTATCTGCCGTTATGGGAGGAAGTGAAAGGCCTGCTAGAGTTCAGTGTGGTGAGCGGCCTGGTGTACCAGCCCGCCTTTGAACTTTCTGATTTATTTACTTAATTTGGCACGGTGGCTGAGGAAAAACTGAAGAACAATGACAAGGCTTTGTGGGAAGGCTGAAGGATACTCCTTTCCAGGCGTTAGAGGCAGCGTGGGATCAGGCATGGAGGTGCTTGGCAAAGACGTAGTCAGTGAGCAATGGAAGGGTGGCAGCCAATTTTTTGCGACTAAAATAGAAGTGATGTCTGGGATTGGTGGCAGATTGCACAGATTTTGATAGAAGTAACTTGTACTTGATGGGATAGAGGAAGTGGGGCAGTGCAAAGAATTACCAAGTGAGGAGTGAGTGATAAAAATAATGGAAAAAGAAAATTACCTTTGCAGCAAGGTCCTAAATAGGCTGAAATGGGGCAGCACTGCCCTTCTGGAGGACATAGAGCAGGATGGTGTAGCAGTCAAGGAAAAAATATGATGAAAGGCCTGACCAGACTTTTTATTTGGGTGGATGGATAGGAAGGGCTATGTCTTAGGAAACATAAACTGTGCTAAATGATTGTGTGAATACTGTTTGCTGCGGATGTCATTTTAGTTACCCATTTTAAGACCAGGTGAAAAACATAACATGGGCGCTATGCAACAGGTTTTCTTGTTTATTTGCTTTGTTTAATATTCTGTCAAAGTTGAGGAAGCCATAGTTGATGTGCATTTAAATAAAATGACATCAGGTAGGTTATGATTGCCCCATGGGGAGATCTCTGGGAAGCAGATTCACTTTGTGTTTTGGAAGACAAACTAGTCAGGATGTTAGAACATATAGAGGAAATAATAGAATAAGTAGCAGTAATTTACATGCTAAATGCTAAAACGGAAGACTCTGCTCAAAACAAGCTATTAAAAGGTTGATTTGAAGCAGAACTTTTACTGCTTTTGTGTAGGTGAAGTTTAAAAGTGATATCTTTCTCATATCTTTGTAGCTGTGATAATTACTGTAGCTTTTTTCCAGACTAATTTTGTGCAAGATGAATAAAAGTAAAATCAAATTTCTTCAGAAAGACAGGCAGCAAACACTCTGAATGAAACAAAAGGTGGAGAAGAAGGAAATTGCTGGATTTCATGCTTTCCCCCCCCCGTCAAAAAAAGCAGAAACAGTAGAGGTGGCAATGAGGTGATATGGCTGCTGTTTGAAATACACTTTAGACCAGCACTTTTGCCCAAAGAAGCAGCCGCACTTTCCAACCTCTCCTCTCTGAGCCAGGCACTTTCTAGCCTGTGTGTTTGGGTGGTCTTAAACTGGAACAGAGTGAAGAGCATTTACTCTTGCTGGCATAAGGCACTATAATGTTTCGCATTACAAAGAAATCACACACACAAAAGCTAAAATTTGGAGAAAACTGAGTAGAGGCCAAGCACTGGGGAAAATAATGAAACTTTGTCCAATTTCATCGATGCTATAAGAAGATTCTTCAACAGAAAGTGGCACTGTTTTCTGGAGCAAGGGAAAACATTCCTTGGTCAGTTTTAGTTGCCCAGGTGAAAAAGTGCTTTAAATCTTAGGCAGTGTTCTCTGGTTATCACCTTGTAGCATAAAGGCAATTGAGGAAGGATTGGACAGCTGAATTTTTAGTTCTGAAAATCATGTCCAAGTTCTTTGGATGATTTTGTATGAAGCACTGAATGGCCAAAAATACTTACTGTAAACTTTACAGTTCTCACAGAACATTTGGCTGTCTTCATTATGATTCATTTCAGATGCTATGCTCTATTAATAAAATAATTTATTGAAATACAGTGTGCCTGGAACAAAGTCTAAATATAGGCAGTGGTATGAAGCAAGGCTATGTTTTCTCTTTGGCATTCTCATTGAGCTTCTTCTGAGGAAAAAATGTTAGTGTAAGACGACATAATTACTGAATAGCTGAACAGCACTATTGTAGAGATGGCCAGAGGTGTCTCAGCATAGTCTAGGTCAGCTGAATAACAACTCGATTTACATTAATTTACTGGCAAGAATGTTTGGTTATAAGCAGAATCGCTCTTAGTAAACTTTGGATAAATACTCATCTAAACCCTGTAAGATCCCAGTGAATCAATTTAATTCTTTATTTAATGGTTCATGTGTTTTGGTTTTTTCCCCCCTCAGTTCACATATGTTAGCATGAGCGTGTGAATCAGTGGAAATATTTGGAAAGAAGTAAGTTAATAAAGTGGCAGGAAAGCAGCTGTATTCATTTACCATTTTGAAGCATTGGTTGAAATGCCTGCCTTAAAGTTATTAAGAAATGGAAATATTTGGTATGAATGTGTTTCTGTCCCAAAAAGTGTGTTTGCATGCCCTGGAGGATGCACAAAATGGGCCTACAGGAGGAGTTCTGCCACTGAGCAGTATTCGGAGGAAGGACGGAGGGAATTCTAGTAATGTTTAACAGCACATCTGAAATATGACCCAGATGGTAATGGTGGACCTTGTTTGTACCTGAAATCTGGCAGTATAAGAAGGGACCAAAATGAGGAAGGAATCATGAAGTCTTAATTTTTCTGTGTAGTTTGAATAAGTTCGTTCTGGTGTTTTGTTTTGGTGCACAGCCTTGACAGATAAAGCTGATGTTTTTTATCCTCTTTGTTGTTGGCCTTGATTACACAGGCACAAAAATCTGAGTTCTTTCTTTTCTTTTTTTGTTTAATTGTAATCTTTTTTGTTTGTTTTTAGGCTGTTGAAAATCTCTGTTCTTACAAAGTCTCTGCTACACTGTACAAACAGCTGCGACAAGTCTGTGAAGACCATGTGAAAGCACAGATCCTTCAATTTAGGGAATATCCTTTTCTCGTGCACAGAAATTGTTAGAATGGTTAGTTTAAATCATTATTTTTAAAACCACACTTTGTAAAAATTACACCAGTAATTGCCAATGTGTTAAAGAGGGTCTTTGTTGACCACTTACATATTTTCAAATCGGGCATAAGCAACTTTAGTCATTGGGGTGAATAATTTTTGTGTACCAATAAATGGCTTGATAATAATAATTTACTTATTGTTTTAGTAGGAATGCAGATTTTACACCTAATCTAGAAAATGTCAATAGCATTATGAGATTTAACAGCAAGTCTGGATTTTTATGGCGGGTGAGTAGTGGAGATACTTACAGTAGCAATACCTTAAAAAATAACCGCGGTAATTTTCAACAACAGTGTCTTCTGTAAAATGAATTCTTGCTCATAAAGCACACCTGTTTGAGCAATAATCACTACTGGTCAGCAGCTATATGTCATAGAGACATTCAGTGTATCTCACAAGTACTTTGGGAGTTTCTTGGGAAAGAGCTGTAAGTTAGGAGATCACTTGGCCATCCTGGGATGCACAGTAACATGAAGTTTTACAGTGAATTTCTCTGTAGGTTTCTGAAGTTGCATTACCAGGCTTTTCTTCTGGCTGAATTGGTCACAGAAATGCCTGTAGATCTTCTCTGGACACTTGAATGCAGCCAGCCTTGGTTTCTAAATCCCATTGTGCTTTGCATGCCAAGATTGTGCTTTTTGTGATAGTTATCTTTTGTGTAACAGCCATGGGGTTGCGCTTGCTCAGGCAGTCAGGTAAGTGGAGTCTACAGCCACCTGGCTGTCCTGGCTTTCCTGGAGAGTGCCTTTGCAAACAGATGCTGAAGAGTGTTGTACTGTATAGATACTACAGTACTTAGGGTGCTAGTAGTGTTTCCTAGGTCTTTGTATGTATTTTATTAACAGAAAATGATAGGTTAAAATTGAAAGAAACAAGGGACTGGGGCCCAGTAAGAACCTTTTTTCCAGGTGAATGCCTTAAATGTGCTCTGGGTCGTGACTCTGTTTATCAGTTTGCTGCATTCCCCAGATAGACACCTACTCTCATGAAGAAGATAATTTTTTTTTCCCCTTCCCTTTTATCTAGCTAAGTCCCAATGTAGGTTTGGTTTTGGGGTTGGTTTTGGTTTTGGTTTTGGTTTTTTGTGTCCTAGTAAAGAAGTCTGGCTTCTACATAGCATATAAGGAACACTGCTATGTAAATCAGCACTGTGAATTCATGTCTTATATGGCAGCTGATTTTTTCACTACATTTATTTTGATGCATTTAAAATCACGTAGAACTAAAAAGTACATTAGTCAGTACAGTTATATCTTAAACATAACTGATCTCCAAGAACCAAATCTTACAGAGTCTGCTTTAAAGCGTCAACCAGTTTTTGCATCCCTTGCTTTTCAGACTTCGTATCATCTTCCAAAGGATGTTTTAAAAAACACCGGTTAAAAAAATTGTGTTTTCTCTGACAGACTGGTGTTTTGGAGGGTTGAGAATTTTCTGTTTTACCAGTATACCACTTAATATCCCAGGGGCATGAGATCAGATTAATCAGATTTGGCCTGAGGGAGTTGGAGATGATACTGTGCAGGAAAGGAAGGTAAAGCTACATTTGGATTTACTCATACGATACGTTAGAGTTCTGAATGAATAAATAACAATTGGATCTGTTGTGTAATGGGGAAAACTGTCTGTTTTACTTGGGGAGACCTGGAGATGTGTATGAAAAGAGTGGTATTTGGATTTGTTGAGGATTATTTAGAACTGTAACTGCTTTTAAGAGATTAGGGTCACTCCTGTTGTGCGCAGTGTGAACTCATTAAACAAACAAAATAAACCTTCCTAGTCCTCTCACCTCAGATGGTGACAGGGTTGTTTTTGACACTGGTGGGATTTCTTTTTTAAATCTGTATGAAAGTTATACAGTACAGCCACTAGATGGTATTACTGAAGAGCAGTGAGTGTTATTCCTTGAAAACATAGGGAGGCCTTTTGGAGAACTTCCAGCCCCTCTGCTGGGCAGAGTCTCTGCAATTAATGGTTTATCCCTGGCCAATACCAGTAACATCAGAATATCTACGGAGCAGCTTTGCTTAATGGCTGGCAAAGATCATCTCCAGAATCTGGCCTTAAAAGATACCGGCAAGCTAGTTTTCCTTAATAGGTGCTGTACAGATTCTCTGGATAGTCTTCTATTTTTAAAGAAGATAAATAAATGCTGGCAAGATCATTGCAGACAAATGGTAAGTTGGATGTTTTTTCAGAATACAAAACCTTGAGGTGTGAAATCTGGCAAAAAGGAATTTGTCATGGTTTTAACTTGGGACTGCATCACTCCTCCTCCTCCAAGTTTCAGCATTGCTTTTCACTTTCCCCTTTGCTAGCTGGGGGCAGTTTTGTTGTTGAAAACTTATGTTCTGTTAACTCTGACTTTCATAGGTTTCATATGAAGTTGGACTATCACTTAGAAATATATTGACATCTATTTTCTGTGGGTGGAAAGAAAAACTAACCAGACTATGCTGAAATTGTTTGCTGTTTGTAATTTTAAGTAATTGGAGAATCCACAATCTTATCTTTGCTTGTACATAGCTCTAAGCTAGATTAATTTGTGACTTTTTTATTTTGTGCAAAGCAGAGATGATTATCCTGACTATAAGGGGCTAAGAAACAGGAAGATTAAAGAGCTGAAACTCACTCTCTTTCTTTATGCCCTTTTTGTCCTCTGCCTCCACAATGAATTATGTTACAGAAAAATACCTTTTCTCAAAGACACTCTGTGTGCATTGTCCCTTTAAGAATGCACCATGATAATACTAAACCAGCATTTTACAGTGAGTTTTCATTGCATCGTCGTGGCTAAAGATGCCCCAAATGGTTGAACTTCTATTTTCATTCCTTGAATCCACCCCTGTCCCTCACTTGTGGGGGATGGGCAGAGCTATGTGATTTTTATCTGAAATAAAAATGGAAAGCATTATGGAAACTATTCAAAACAAATTCAGTAGTCTTGTGAAAATAGAAAACAAAAAAAGCCTCGTTGCTGATTTAATTTAGTGTGCTTGGTCAGAAACTATGTTAGCTTGAGAACAGCTTCAGAAGCGATGAACTCTTTTAGGGAAGGAGTAGGTGGATGGCTGGGGAAATCTCTGCAGCTAGCCTGGGGGTGAGTTAGTTACTGACATCCTGAGGTAAGCTAATGCTAAACTGAAAGCTGGGCAGCTTTTTTATGAGCAATTTAATTTTGATTGTAAAAGAGTAATGAGCTGAAAACCTGCCTCCTTTTCCCACTTTTTAAATTTTAAAAAAGATAATATATTTTTATACCTTCTTTCCCTTGTTAGAATTAGTGTATTGCTATTTTTCTCATTAATTTTGGCAGCTGACTTTTATTATGAAACTATTTGTTGCCGAGCTTATTACTGTCTCTCCTTAAAACTTCTTTTTTAAAAAAAGCAAAACCAATGACAGAATGCTATTTCAGGGTGTTTATTGAATGTCTTGGTGGTACTGCTTGAATAGCTCGTGTGTCTCAGTAGCAGTAAAACTCACAACAGGCTAATAAAACTATTTACTTAATAGTTATGAGTTTGAAAACTGTCTTGGGTGTAGTTAGAAATACCACTTAGTAATAGCATTAACAACAATAAATTAAAGACTACTGGCTGTACAAGTCACCATAAAAGTTGAAAATACATACATCAGTAATTAAAGTGCATGTCTATGTGATGTAGTTTTCAGAATTTGCTTTATAATTTAAAATACCACTTGATGGTTAAGAGAAAAACATATATTTTCAGATCATGATCAGAAGCATTTTCTTATTTTTGGATCGTACGTATGTACTTCAGAATTCAATGCTTCCTTCTATATGGTAGGTATCCCTCTTAAGTATTCCTCCAATCTTTAGATTTTGAACATGTTGTTATATTTGCAAAGGTTCACATTATATTTGATCTGTGTGATAGGTCTCTAAAATTTTGTGTTAATTTGTGGTAATACGTGTGTCAGGCTATGCATGTGTCATTTCCTCTTTCCCCAGAAATATTCATTGTGAAATGAGGGTAAAAGAAGAATAAGGCCTGTGAACATATGCTTAAAAGTCAAGGCATAAATATAGTGGTAGTTGTCACAGCCTGCATGAGTCTGGCTGTGTGGGGAACCTCCTCGGACTGCTGCCTCTGTGCCTTAGCGCTGGCGCAGCATTACATTAGATCTTCCTGGTTTTGACAAAACCAGACACTCAAGTTCTTGTGGTTTTTTGTTTAGTTGGTTTTTAAATAAGACAGATATCAACACTGACCTCTTGAGAGTTGAGACCTGTGGCTCAGAGCATTGAGATGATGCTGCTTTACTTTCAGCATACCACAGTCACATCTTTGAGTAGTCTATTTTTAAGCATCCCACCTGAGGGGCACTTTATATCATTTGTTTGCCCAATCCAGCCTTTGCTGAAAATTTCTGCTATTGTTACTCTGTCTAAAGTAAAAAAATACCTAATAAAGTACTGAAGTAAGAGCGCATTTTTCTCCTGCCTGGCTGGCTTCTGTGCTCTTGGGAGTTCCTCAGGCTGAGGAATGTGGCATCCTTCTCCCACCCCTTGTTCGTCCTGTGGACATATTTCTTCCCGACCTCTGCAGTAGTTTTCCTCCAACTCTTTGTGTTAGGCTTCCTTTTACTAAACATTGTTGAAGAGATCTGTTCAAACTTTGGGCCCTTTTTTTTCCCCTCATACTGGGAAAATTCCCTTATTGAAATCCTGATGCGTGCAAAGAAGTTGGAGGTAACAAGTTTTATCTAAGATGCCTCTGTCTTCCTTGGCCAAGACAATGTTATTAACTGGCTGCTTCATGACATAGAGGCACCATTTCTCATCCTCTTAGAATGAAACAAGAATCTGATACGGATCATTGTAAGGTCATAAACATACAAAGAATTTACACTTCTGAACAAAACTTATAAATTACACATAGATTGACTGATCTAGGGAATCTTATGTTAAGGTATATGTTCAGATTTTTTATTCTTTTTATAGTAGTAATTTTAAAAATAAAGACTGTTGTAGTCTATTATGTGAAATACAGACAGGCTGGTCATAGTTCTCAGCTGAAGTGTATATGCGTCTGGTAGCGTGTGGCCTGGTATTTTTATGATACTTTTTGTTGTGATTTTCTTAGTAGACAGCGTAAAAATTATATATATACACACCAATAATCTGTTCTCTTTCTGTATAATATATACACATTATATGTGTTTTATGTGTATTTGTTTTTCTCAAACTGGGATACAGATTTTTGAAAAGAATCAACAGTATGATTTATTAAGTTTTCAATATTCACACAGGGATATGGGGCTAGAGTTATTTAGAAATCACATTATTAGTGACAAGCAAGTTCAAAACAAGACAATTGATGGGATCCTCCTGCTGATCGAACGAGAACGAAATGGTGAAGCTGTGGACAGAAGTTTGCTGCGGAGTTTGTTGAGCATGCTGTCTGATCTGCAGGTGAGTACAGCAAACTTTACTAATAACAGCTATGTTTAGAAACAGGGTCTGGACTTTTCTAATTTGTGTGTTGTTCAGAAATAATTTTATTCTTCTAGTAAATATGCTTCAAAATCTTAACTATTAGATTGATAAGATTGCCTTTTCTTTACCCCATGTGTGATCTTTTATTCCTTGTTTTTAAATGAAACCACTTTGCCTATTTTCCTTAGCAAAGGTTGCGGCCTGCAGACTCATAAATTATAGATTTGCAAGTCTTTTAGTATGTGCAATATTTTGTCTGTCTTAATCATTCATTTTCTAATCCTAGTGCCAATTAAATGTAGGAACAAAAAAAGACCACGTCTGTCACTGTAAGAAGGCATCACTTTTGGAGTCCAGGTCCTATGTCTGTGTTACAAAATCATCACTGTATTGGCAACTTCTTAGCAGAGATGCCAAGGATAGAATGGGATGCAAAGTTACGGCCAAGGTTTCCAAATAGATAAGGTCAATCTGTAACTTACTGGAACTTTCCATTAGCATAGATACTAAGTAAGCAAATAGACTAAAAAATGCTGTGCTAACTTTGGCAAAGGTTGTCCTCTAGTTGACATTTCAGCCTTGTGCGATGCACCATGAAACTTAGGAGCTGTCTTTCGTTCTTAAAAACAGTTGAGATTGCGCTGTTCCCAAGTGATATACATATGGCTGAAGGTTTAATAAAAGAGTTCAAAGAGGAAGACTGCATAAAATAGTGCTTTTGGATCAGGCAGCTTGCTTACATTTCTGCCTTTCATGTTAATCCTCCTAACTTTCATCTGTAACTTTAGTGTACCAGAAAAATTAATAACTAGTAATTCTTTCCAAGAGAGAAGGCAAACTTCTGTCAATGATTTTTCAGATCACATAACTGAACATGCGGATCTGATTTGTGTACTTTTTCCCCACTTTTTCCCATTGTTATTTGCCAAGTTTCTCTGACTGCATCAGCTTTTTTCTAAGTGTTGACTTTTTAACATTTATTAATTTTTAGCAAAGTACTGTGCTAACTAAAGATGAACATTCCCCTTTATTTGATCCCTCTTACAGAATTGGATTTAAGTCTGTATTCTCCTTTGTTGGCTCAAAAATGTAGTTTTCTTTTTTCACTAGGGAAACTAACCTATCTAATCTGTTCTTTTATAATGTCTGTTACTTCACTGAGATAGAGATGTGCTCATAATCCTGTAATTATACACCAAGATCTCTACTTCTCTCTCTCTCAACAGAAGTTAGCTTCTGGAGACAGATTAATTAATTAAGAAAATCTTATATTGCATTTGGAAACAATCTCTTCCTCATTCCTGATTTTTAAGCAATTATACAATTGAGGACCAGCTGCTAAAAGTTGATTCCCACTTGCATAAATCCTTTTCTATAGCTGTTTCCTATTACACTAATGGGATCTTGGGGCCAAAACTTAGGTCTCAAGCAGCATGGGTGGCCCAGATGAGCAAGGTGTGGAGAGAGCTGTGTTAATGCTCTGCAATACTCTACTTGGCATGCCTTTTGCTGCCCCAGTGTCCCTAGAACTGTAGGCTTTGTGGTTCTCTAAACCACAATGAGTGGCTTATTCCTTCCCTGGAGAAAGAGAGTTCACCTTATTTTGTATAATTTGTTTTTCCTGGGCCACTGAGATAAACCTGGTAGAACTGAAGATGCATTACTGAGCATTTTGTTATTTTGTTATTGGGAATTACTGTTTTGTGCCAATGTTTCACTAGTTGGAAATATTTTTAGGTTTTTTTTTTGCCACAGAAATATCAGTGGGATTCTTGAGCTCAGATGGATTGGTTGTCATTGCTGTGCTTTGATCTTGGGGATTGGTTTTGGGCTCTTTGCCTTAAACAGAAACCTGTCAATTTAGACTATTTGAGTATTGATAAATGAAAAACATTATTGCTACACTGGAAAATCAGCTCAGATCTCAGTCTCTCTAAAACCAGAGGGCAAAGAGAAAACTTCTGTGTTAATCTAATGTTACTCTGACACTTCTTATAACTGTGTGTTCTTGAAATTTTACTTGCCCTCTATGCCTGACAACCAAAACATTCTACCCTTACTGGCAGCTTAATGTAATTAACTAAATTAATTTCTTGAGCAGGTTTACAAGGAATCATTTGAACAGAGGTTTCTGGAAGAGACAAATTGCTTATATGCTGCAGAAGGCCAAAGATTAATGCAAGAAAGAGAGGTAGGTGCATGCCATAGATGATTGCTTTTTTGTTAGTTTTATCTGCTATGGGATTGCATGAGAACTTCTGGTAGTGCTATGGTGTATTTATGTTCTGTGAAATTCATTGGTTCCCAGGTACACATGTACACATTCACATGTTTTGATGTGGACCACAGTATTGTATCAAACGGAAGAGGAATCTCCAGGCTGCCTTGGTGCTTGAAATACATAATTAAGGGTGGAGAAACCCAGTGGCATTTTGTGTAGCTAAGGTTACGGTACCAGAAAGTCATTTCCACATAAAGCTTAAGGGTGTGCCATCAATATTATTTTTGCTTAAGTGCTGTAAAATATCCACTGGCATAATTTTACTATGTGGTTAATATCTAAGTGAACTGCTCACTTTTTTACTGTTTTGTTGCATTTATTTTGCTGTTTTGTTTCTTTTCCTTATTAGTTAAATAGACTTAAGACATTTTTGTTTTCTGTCCTATTGAGATATAATTATGTTCTGCAGTGGGCAGCCTGCAAATATGTCAATCTCTGAAAACATACGTGTTTCTTGGTGGTCTAAAATACAGACTAGTACCTTTATTCCATTTTAACACTGAGTCACTACAAACATTTTGAAAATGCCTGATTACATTGCACTGAGGTGGATCCTTGTGTCTAATCCTGCTCCATTCACCTCATTCCCTGGCATTCCACTGGGACCTGAGATGAAATGCTTTGATGTAGATTTTGAGACCAAGAGTCTTACTGCTTTTATAGGCCTAGTGGAAAGCTGTGGCAAAACCACAAAAGGATTACGGCCCTAACTTAGACAGTATATACATGTACATGCTTAGGCATATGCACATAGTGCATACATATACATGCATCCACTTGCATATACATGCATATGTACCTGCATGTGTATGTGTGCATACGTGTACATATATGCACGTATGCATAACTCTTTTTATAATTTGAAGTCTGAGTTTTATAGTTGTGCCATAATATATGTTAAATGTAATAACTCTTCATAGGGACAGATACTCCACTGGAGAAACTGACACTATGAATAGTAATAGAATAGTAATAGAACTATGAGGTTCACACCAACTGAAAAATTTGCTCCATGATACTTTAAGGCTAGCTTAGCTCAGAAGGTTTTTGAGAAAAAATAAGCTTCCTCTGAAAAATTCTTAGATTTCTGTTTTTCTCTTTTCTGTCAGGTGCAGTTACAATACTTGAAAGTAACATTGATTAATAAAAATATAGATTATGTAGTATGTAACAAGGTTCTGGTAGAGTAGTCCTTTCCAGGTCATATTCTCTTTAAATTTGTAGTTTAAATTAATTGTAATGGAATAAGATTATCTGCCTTTTGTACCGTGTAGTTGAAGTTGACATTCCCTTGTCTTGCTAGGTCCCAGAATATCTTCACCATGTTAGTAAACGTTTGGAAGAAGAAGGAGACAGAGTAATAACATATTTAGACCACAGCACACAGTGAGTACAAATTTTGTCATTCTTAGTGCAAATCAAACATCCTTCATAAAACAGTGGGGTTATCTGTGATTGTAGAGACACAGAGATTATTTCTGCATTATCTTACAGATGTTATTTTGTTGACAAGCACTAGTGATACAGCTTGTTTTTTTTAAGACTTTATTTTTTATTAAAACTGATTTCTTTAAATCAAAATATACTTTGAGTAAGAGGAGAGAAATTTGTTCAAAGACCAGTGTATATTGAAGTTAACAAAACATTATATAAGAACTCAAATTGACATTATCAAAATAGCAGCTGATTTTAGCCATTCATGTACTGGTAACAACATTAACCACAAACCCCTTGAGGGAAAGAAAGACTCCTTAGGCAAAAAAAAAAAAAAAAAGAAAAGGTTAAATTATTGCATAGGACATGAACATAACTCATGAGCAGTCCAGGATATGAATTTAATAGTAGATCAGTTTTGGTGCAGCTGCTGCCAGTAGTCAGAAGTCCAACGTAGCTTGTCCTTTCTTCACTCAGGTGCTGAGTAATAGTGTGTGTTTTGCTGGGGTAAGAACGTGCTTTCAGGAAGTAGTGCAGGGTCAGTGATGCACTATAAATCCATATGTAATTTGTCTTGCAGTAAGCTGTTGCGTTGGATTTTTTTTAATAAAGAACATAACAATTAATGAAGAACATAACATTTTATTCTATTTTATTATTTTTCTGGATGACACATTGGCGTGTCATTCATTATTCAGATACAGTTTTTATATATACTCTCACACACATGCGTTGCATGTCATGGTACATATTTGAACTTGAAACTTCTTCCTGTAAATGCTGATTGCAGGGTGACTAGGTTTTTCTGGCAGTCACTCCAAAATCTATGGAACTATTTCTGTGTATAAAGCTTATATATAATTTTTAAACTTAAACAGTAAATAAAAGGTTGATATAGTTATATTTTCAGGCTAGATATACATCGAGTCCTTGCTTTGAATCTCTTCCTTGGTAAAAGGCTTAGAAAACCCACTTTTAGAATTCTGGCTTTGCACTAATTTCCTTTCTTTGCGTTTAGACACAGTAGCTCTTAAGATGAGTGTCCTTGATTTGTCCTCAGGTCATACTGTCTCTCCAGGTGTGCATGAAAAGAGCAGGAAGGATGTTAAATTTAGTTACTGGGTTTGAGATGGAAATGATACTTCCAGGACAAAGCTTTTCCATCCCTGCCAGCCTTTGGCAAAGAGTTCCACTGGTGCATGAGCCACCAGGTGATAAATTGCCTCCTTTTGTTTAAGTCAGACTCCCAGTACCATCACTGATGACCCCAGTTCTTGCTTTCAGGGAAAGTGATCTGTCCGTTCCCTTTCAACTTCTCCCTGCCTGTCGATGCACTGTATCCCTGCATCCTAAGTCATCTCTTTCCCAGAAAGAAGAGTCCTAACCCATGCAGTTGTTTCTCTGGTGGCTGCTGCATCATACTTTGGTCATCCCTATTCCCTTCTCTGGACTTTTCCAAATTCTAATTTAATCTTTCTGAGATGAAGGGATTAAAACTGGGTAATGTATGGAAGATCAGGCAAGTAATTGATAGGCTGTTTCAGGAAAGGTGGTGTTTTTGCAAAGGTAGGGACAGAAAATTTATGCTGCTATGTAATAAGGCTTCCATCTATCCAGGTCAAGCACCTCTCTTCTGGAAAATCTAAATCAAAGATCTGAGAACGAGTTTTATAAAACTTAACTCAGAAAGAAATGGTTGCTCCTTTGTTGTTATATTTTAAGCAGCGGTAGAAGTTTAAATGTTGAAATTAATTATCCCTTTGCACTTCAGGCATTTCTTTCTTCTTTTATGCTGTAAAAGATGTAAAGGAAAACTTGCCATTGTTTTTCAGTCCTGTCTAAAGTTAATGTATCAAACAAATATTTCATTAATATCAAAAATTAGATAAAATCCAAGGACAAATTTAAAATGTTTTGCGAATTGGAGTCTTGTGGCTCAATTTATGCTTCTGTAGGTGCATAACACATTAGATTAAAAGCTTGGGTTTTGAACATCACCAGCATCTATTGTATTGTTCTGGAGTTCAAGCTCTTGGAGTATTTTGGTTTGCTTTATTTGTTTGCTTGTTTGTTTCTAAGAAAATGTCAATTTTACTTTTTTCCAGAAATGTTTTGGTATTGATTTTTGGTATCTAAGCTTCTCTCTTCTACTGTGTAAGAACTTGCTTTTTGGTATCCAAACCTGAATTTCTTCCTAAATTACAGACATTGTTTTTATTGTTTTCTTTCTTGACTTACATCACATGTGAAATTTTTGTCTTAATTTGTAGCCTCTGTTTTAAATTAAAAAATGTTAATTTTTTTTATAGTATAAAGTTATTCACAAATACACTGTGACAGAAAGCAATTGCCTTATACTCTAATACTTCTAAAATACTTTTCTTGCCTTATTTAGGAAACCACTGATTGCTTGTGTGGAGAAACAGCTACTAGGAGAACACTTATCAGCTATTTTGCAAAAAGGTATTTTAAAAAATTAATATAATTTCCAGTATGTAATGAATTATCATACTCTGCAATAACTATAAACTCCACAGCTTTTATTTAAGGAGGTATATTAGCCATGGGAAAAACTTCCAGAGATGCATAAAGCCAGCCCTATGACTGTTACACCCACTGTGACAAGTTAATTGTGTATGTGGAAACAAATATAATTCCTTATTTGTAAAGGTTGCTAAACTCCCTAAATCTCCTTTGACTTCCAGCAGTGGGCTTAGGAATTAAACCTTTGAAACTATTTATTTCCTGGAATTATATAAACGTCTAAATGAGAGCTGCAGTTACTGTTGTAGCTTCTTTTATGTGATAATCACGCAGCTCAAGTACAATAGCTTCACAAATTCTTGTGATTTTATAGCTCAAGAATAATGAGTTACTGGAAGTGACAACATTCCAAGGCAATGAACTTTCAGATGCTTTTGTCTGTATTTTATGTTTTGCCTGGCAATTTCAGATAAGAGCTGCAGTCTTAAGTCCTTATTCAAACATTAGCATCTCCAAATGACCATTTATTTGTTCCACTTAACCTTTAATCTCTCCTTTTTCACTGGATTTCTACATTTGGTCAGTATTGCCTGATGTTTTAATACATTAAATGATCCTTTCCTTTTCTTGAAGTAGCCTTATTTTAGGTTTTAGATCTAGAAAATTGTTCTTACATCTTTGTTTCCTGCTGCAAAACAGATGTCCCAAGTAGTCTAGTATCTTGGAGCTCTATCACATCCATGTTTGCTAATATTTTAGGTTGCTCTACATACCCCTTTCCCTTCTTTTTTCATCCTCTTTAAAGATAGACATATGCTCAGAGTTTTCTCTGAACTACTCTGAGAACAGGTTATTTCACAATTTTCAGGACATTTGTAAAAATAAGCATGGTCACTCCATTTAACTATTCTTAAGCTTATTGTAAACAGAAGGTAAGAATAAATAATGCTTGTTGTTATATGTCAATTTTACTTGCTCTTTAATTCAAGTATTAATTTTAAGTACCTTCTCCAGTGACACATTTGTTCTATCAGTTGGCTTAACCAGAGAGTATGTGGTCTTGTTTTATCCTGAACTTTTTCTTGGTTTATAATGTATATGTACCGTCCATGTAAATAAGGAGAGATTTACAAATTTTTTTCTAGTTACTACGTTTTAGGTCTGTTGTATTGTTGGATCAGCTTTTGCATTCTATGTCTGCACTTCAAAAAAAAAATAAATTCTAGTATCACTTGCATAACTTTCTGCATTCATGTGATCCAGGGCACATTGTAATTTGCTTATAACATCCTAGTATTCTGAGAAAGTAGAAGTTACTGCCTTTTGTAGGTTTTGTTCCTAAGGAGAAGGCATTAGATATATTCAGTTTGATGTAGGGGTAAAAAAACCTTACAAATGCAGGGTATGTATAAGAAACTTTTCTCTTTTTGTATTACTGCAACTACCATTGACTAGATATTGGTGGTTTTTTTTTCACTGAGTATAATATTTTTTTCCAAGGCTGTGATAGTGCTTTCTGGAAGTTGTGTGAAGCCTTGCATCAAAGGACTTTCCTGTATGTCTTTTTCAGACAACGTATCTCTGATTACATTGGAACTACATTCATCATATTCTCAAATGTAAAAATGTGTGCACAGTTGTTATACATTTCATATTTAGCCTTGAGCTTCACTTCTCTGTTTACCTAGTCCAAAGCGTAGTCCTATGCAGGGTGAATTGATAAAGGCAAAAGTTGCTTGAAAGGAATTTGTAGTCTTGAGTTATTCCATTGGTATAAGCATGGGGAATTCATAGCACCTTCTTAATCTAAAAAACAAACATGGCTCACCACACTCCACAGGAAAAAATCTTGCAAAGTATCTATCTTTACTTTAAATTTGGGGCACGTTACCTAGCTTACTGGTTTTTGACATTCTTTAGAAGTTCTTGATAAAACTGTACCCTTCAATTCAAGCACTGTTCATAAACATTCTACAAAAGGGTTACAGTCAACACCTTGTTGGGAAAATACTTCAGTTGAAATATTTTTAAAATATTACACCATCAATTGTATCAGCCAGTTTAAACAAGGGGACATCTTAACCCTGAACATACCACTTGCTTCCAGAAATGTAGTCTTAAAAATTTTATGCTTTTCAAGCATGCTGGAGAGTCTTGTCTTTTGATGTATTTCATAGATATTAGTTTAATTTATTTTTTTTTTTAGGACTTGATAACCTGCTCGATGAAAACAGAATATCAGATTTGACCCAGACTTACCAGCTGTTCAGCCGGGTAAAAGGTGGTCAGCAGATCCTCTTGCAACATTGGAGTGAATACATCAAGGTATTTCAAAGTTGTCTTACTAATACCAACATTTATGCTGTTATCATATATTTCTTCTATCCAAAAATAAGAATAATATGTATGTGTATGCATCAAAATTCTGTTTTAAGCAAATATGGGGAGGGATGTTAATGCTTCGCCCCCAGTAATGATCATATGTTGTGGTTTTAAATTTCTACTTGGAAATTGCTTTCCTTACAGGTTTGAACATTATACAAGAAGTTATTTTGGTTTGCTTTGCTTTTAAATAGAGCCATATGCATATGTGTTTAGAGTAAGTTGGACTGTACTGTGTTGTGTTTTGCTGCAAATGCACTCAACTGTTTACGTATCTGCAGAATCATTGAAACATGAGAACATAGCTGTTCTACTCCAGGTTAGCAGTGCTACACGTAACCAACCCACAGCAATGCTGATGAATGTTTAAGGTATTTGGAATGAAATACGCCTCTAGAAAATAATCCATCATCAAAGTCCTATTTAGATGCTTCAGGTTTGTTTTGGTAGGCATGATATGCATGTAGTAACTGCCCCAGAGAACTTGCACTCTGGTGCTCTTGCAAGATGAAAGCAGCAAAACTTCACAGAAGGTATTTCTCTCTGGAGTTGATAATTCCTGATATGGTAACTCTCTTCAGAATTGCCCATGGGTGCATCAACCTTCAGGACTAAGTACACAACATCAGTTTGTTTCAGAGCTGCCTTTCCTGCACACCCATGTCTGGGGTTCTGCATGGCGCACCAGCACGCAGCCCGCGTGAATGGGATGTAGTCTTCCCTCTGCCCCCAGAACCAAGGTGGTGTTTGCCCTGCTGGGTGTCGTCCAGCATCCCCACATGCAGTCTGTGCATCCATGGGCAACTGGGGCAATTGAAGGCCAAGAAGGAATGATCTTTCTTCTGCATTGCTCTCAGATCATGTGTCTGATGTGTGCTGCCTGTCACTGCACAGACTCTTTTGTGATCTGTTTTAACACAGTATCTGGGCAAGGGCAGTTCTATGACAGGTTTAGTAAGCTAAAGAGTCTCACATGTTGTGGCCCAAGGAAAGAATCAGGAGTTCAGGACAGATAGGAAAATGAAGGAGGGAGAACCGAAACCTCTCCTTTCACAGCAGCAAGTTGTTAAGTTGGCTTGTCATACCTTTTGTCTCGCAGAATCAGATCTTGTATGGCTTTGTTTTTAAGAATTTTTTTACAGACTCAAAAAGCTAGAAACCATTTTCAGTAGTTTCAGTAAATCTCCTCCTTTCAAACATTCTGTATGATCACAGAATCACAGAATATTAGGAGTTAGAAGGGACCTCAAAAGATCATCCAGTCCAACCCCCCTGCCAGAGCAGGATCACCTAGACCAGGTCACACAGGAATGTGTCTAGGCAGGCTTTGAATGTCTCCAGCGAAGGAGACTCCACAATGTCTCTGGGCAAAACAGAGAATATGCAAAATGATAGAATGCATTCAAGTGAGGCTACAAGAACATAACTTTTATCTTGTGAGCCAGCATAAGAAAATACACAGAGACCGTGCCAAATTACTGGGGTGAAGGTCTGTGCTCTACTGTAGTCACCTTTTATGATTTCAGAGGTGTCATTTAGCTTTCTGTATCTCTTTCTGTATCACTTTGCCATTTGCAGAATGGGGGCAATGCCCTGCAATTTGTGAATGTAACTGGTAGAGGCTGTGTTAATGAAGGGGAAATTTTGCTAAGTGTAAGATATGATGGACTAGATCTTCAGTGGTCCTTTCTGACCCAAACTGTTCTGTGATCTACATACTGAATCTAAGGACCTGGGGCAGCCTTGTGTTTGTCTTGCTTCACCAAAATCTTACTTGAGAAAGATCTCAACAAAAGATCACAGGGGATAATTAGACACTGAAGTGGAAATCCTGAGGTCTGGGAGAGATTTCCCCATCTCTCTTTGACTGTTGTCGTGCTACATAGGCTAGCATACTTTAGTTGATGAAAATACACCAGCTGAATACTGTTCTGCTGTTACTGTGCAGATGTTCCTCTTTCTCACCTTGGATAATATGTCATTCTGTCTAGAGCAGTGATCAGTGTTACTAAGCAATTCTAAATTATCCGATGGGTTAAAACCCTCCCTTACAGGATATTTTGGTTCACTAGGCAAATGGTATTGTACCTCTAACTGTAAGATAATAAATGTAGGAACAAGAAAAGAAAGTCTGTGGCTGCTTCTTGAGAATGGGAAAGTTTTTTGGTTTGTTGCAGGTCAGCTAGGTTTTATTTTTGCTTTTGAGTCCTTGCTGAAAGAGAAATCTTGGAGTCATGTGCAGCAGTTGAATTTTCGCCACCTCTTCCTTCAGTAGAGCTCTCCAGTGGATTTAAGAAAAATAATACAAAGTTTTCCATTACACTTAACATTTCTGAGGCAGTTTCCATATAATTTCTTTTACATGAATCATGTAGTTCTGTATCTTAACTGTAAACTTGCACATCATACAGTTCATGTCTGCTGTGTATTTTTTTTAGCTTTTGTCTTAAATGTATATAATCTTTAAATCAAACAGTAATGTTTGAAATCCATTAATGTGTGTCTGGGTTTTTATTTTAAATTTCAATGCATCTCATTTTTTGAAAACTTGAAGTCACATAAGTAGCTCTGTTAAAAAAAACACAACTTTTTCTAATGGTAAATTTTATAAGGGTAAATGTGTCTGTTGGGGGAGATAGGTAGCATTCTAAAGTATTTTATTATCAAAAGTGTTTGTTTTACAGAACTTTGGGACAACAATAGTGGTTAATCCTGAAAAAGACAAGGATATGGTGCAAGAGCTACTAGATTTTAAGGATAAAGTGGACCATATCATAGAAGTGTGCTTTCAGAAAAATGAAAAATTTATAAACTTGATGAAGGAGTCCTTTGAAACATTTATCAACAAGAGACCAAATAAGCCTGCAGAATTGATAGGTACACAAATATTTTTCTGTAAAATATTTCAAAAATCTGTAGAAAGCATGATAAGATAATGCTGCTGAGTGTGCTAGCGCAATAGTGATGCAGTACGCATTCTGCTTTAGGAGGCTCGTTTTTGGGATAGGAGACAAAAGTTAACCTGGGAGCATTGCGGGTCCGAAAAGCTTGGGTGCGCTGTTAGGTGTGCGCGTGGTGTCCTGATGGAGCATGGCAACTTCTGCTGTCCCCACGCTCTGCTTCCTGCACGGTGCCTGGTGCTAGCAACGCCTCAGAGAGCAAAATGCTGCTGCTATGAGGGGAGTAAATGGTCAAGGGGAAGAGCAGCTGTGTCAAAAAGAGAACTGTTTCTAAGGGTGGTAGTAGAGGTGTTTTTTGGATGTTACGGATCTCTCAGAACGGACTGAGTACAGCCCATCTATCTGCCTTGAAGGCTGAAGTTGGGAGAACAACTTTAAAGCCTTCAGATACAAGGAGTTTTAATAGAGGAAAAAAACAATATTACTTTGAAGGGGGAACTAGTGGTCATTAAGGGGAAAAGGAATAAAAATATATTAAAAATACTAGTACTGGGTTTATCCCTGATCTGGCAAAAGCTCGTCTGACTGTTTTGCCTGCAGCGAAAGCTGTGGCATTTTACACCAGGAGAGGATTCCACTCCTTGGTTGGTTCTTTTTCCTCTCTACGTTCTTTTGCCTTTATTTGACTTATTTCACTACTTCTTTCTAAAACCTGCTTTATGTAGGACAAATTGCACAACCTGGTGATACAGGTTAAAGCCATGATGCTGGCTGCTGTCTTCTGTGGGCTGTGGTGTTTCGACTCCTGCAAAGGTTTCCTTCTTATGCAGAAGGTTGTATAAGGATACTAATGTGGCTTAATAAATACTTAGATAAACTCATGGCTTAACCTTATTTCTGGCATTCTGAAGCTACTAACTTGAAAGCATTGCTTCTGTTAAAATTTTGGTATGCTCATACCAAGGAGCATGAGGGACATGGTAAAGATCAACAAAAATATAGTCCTCTTTGTGTTGTTCGTTTCTGTTTCTCATAAAATACATCCACGTGCATTGTACACTTCCAAAACATTGTCTTTCAACAAGTAGTGTGCTTGCTGTGACTATAAGACACAATGTGGGAATTTGTAATGCATTAATTTTAATGATTATACTGCATTGACTTTGTTTCTCTTGTACAGTTATTTTTGCGATATTTTTCCATTATGACAGTAGTACAGTAGGGATCTATTATTCCACTGAACGTAGGGATGGGAAAAGGGAAAATAGAAGATTTAACACTTATCCTGTACTTTAACATATAGTAATACTTGCCATATAGTAATATTTCAAGTGGGAGACACTTTAGTTATTCTAGATTTTTGGTTTTAAAGCTGTTAAACTGTTTTATTTATTTGTAGCAAAATATGTGGATTCCAAGTTAAGAGCTGGTAATAAAGAAGCAACAGATGAAGAGCTGGAAAGAATCCTTGACAAAATCATGATCATATTTAGATTCATTCATGGTAAGAAATACAGGTTCACAGTGACGCAATTAAAACTGTTTTCCTTGCTACTAGCAGAACGCATTTCTCTGAATGTAAGAGATCTTTTTTAGCATGAGGTTCTGCTTGACTTGATCTTCAGATCGGGTTGCCTTACATCTGAAGGAGCACAATAAATACACCAGGGCAGACAGACTTATTCTATGGAGGCTGGCAAGTTACAGACCATTTACAGTCTGAGCGGAGACATGAGATTTAGAGCTGTTGGTGTTGGTTTTTTTTTTCCCATAAATTAACTGTATCTGTAACCACAACTTCTCCTCTAATGACAGAGAACAGAAAGGTTAGTACAGATTTTCTCTTCCCTGCCCACCTCAGTATGTCATAGGTGCAGTACATGAAAACCCAGTAACTAGTAACTTGTTTTTTCTCATTGTGGCTGAGAATGAACACAGAGGAGGCCTCAGAATGATGGGAGAAAATGTTATTGCTGTGTTTTACTGCCTTTGAAATGCAGTTCTCTTATGTATGTCCTTATCTGAGAAAAACCCTTTAATATGTTAGGAATTTTTTTTGCTAGTTTGGATTTCAGGAAAGGAAAATGTGGTTGAGTGCAATAGAGATGTATGGTCATTGTTATGAGGGAAATGAGACATGTCTTCTGGACTGGGGTGGAATAAGCAGAAACTACTCCATTCTGCATTAGCTTATTCTGAGATACGTGGGGTTCTTTCCTTATAAAATCCAAACCAAGTACAATATAATGGGAAAGCAGACAAGAAATAAGTCAAAGTAGCATCATTTGCATCATGATTTATGTCAAATGCAAACGGTGTTGGATGGATATGGTGAATGATAACAGTATTGCAACTTGTCAGCCTAAGAGATTAATTTCTAATAATCTGAAACTTTGAGCAACTCTTTTTCTCTTAATATATTTTTGTAGTGCTGAGCTAAAAGTGCAAATTTATTTTGAGGTATCTAACACACAAGAGTCCTTTTAAGAGCAGCTGATAATTAGTAGTTAGTTTCTGGGTATTGGACTTTTCAATAGTATCTTGATGCTGCTTCATGAAACAGTATTTTACCAGAGAGCAGGATGGAGAAGGAAGAAGAGGATCAGACAAATTGCTACATTGGAAGGTGTTTACAAGGAATTAGGAGGGGCTACTGTAGGTAGTGCAAATAATGCCTTGAGTTACAGTGAATTTCTGCCTCTTAAAAGTGAAACAACTTGCTGATATCTTTGCACTATCAATAGAAAAGATTTGTGGAAGCTCTGGTTTAAGATGTGCAAGTTTGTGGGTGCCTGTATGACTACTTTATTTCAAAAGGCAAAGCAAGTGAGAAGTCTTCTGATGCTTTTTCTTCACCTTAGGCTTTTAAACAGTATTTCTTTAATATGTAGGAACCTTTTTTCTTTTTTTAATTTTAATAAATCAGACCCCAGAATAATTTCATGTGGTTTGCAGCTGACCCAATGGGAAATACAAGGCAGCCTATGTTCCTGGGGTGGAGAGAGGGGAGGAAAAAGAAAGAAAGAAAGACTTTGCAAAATATGTTAAAAAATAATTCAGATATAAAAAGAACTAGTTGTCTACATGTTTTCATTTACTGTTGCATAGTGAATATTGTTCTACTGATCTTGAGAAAGGCGTTTGTGACAAACCTAAAGTGCAATGATGCAAATAGAATGTATGATTTAATCTGATTTTTATTTTTTCTTTTTAATTTCCATACAGGTAAAGATGTGTTTGAGGCATTTTACAAGAAAGACTTAGCCAAAAGGCTTCTGGTTGGAAAAAGTGCATCAGTAGATGCTGAGAAGTCCATGTTGTCAAAGCTTAAACATGGTAGGTTTCTTCAGACGTGTTAAATTTTTATTACTTTAATAAAAGTAATGGCATGTAAAGTGGAATCCTTATTTTCTCATGCTTAAAGAAGTGAAAAGCCAGATTTTAAGTAACAGCTGAGCATATCACAGCTTTCATTGTGCTCACTGAAAACTACCTCTTAGATATGTAAATGATTCATTTAGTGTACCTACAGAGGAACAAAACCCTTAAAATATTTACCCAATTGTGGGTGCTCTGTACCCTGGCAAATCTGGCTCGACTGTCTCAGGTTAAACCTTCATTGCTTGTTCTGTGCTTCTGTGTAATTGTGGGATTTTTGCTTTAATTCGTGTGACAGAATGTGGTGCTGCTTTTACCAGCAAACTGGAGGGCATGTTCAAGGACATGGAACTGTCAAAAGATGTCATGGTTCAGTTTAAGCAGGTACAGTGAGCTTGTGTTTGTGTGCTGAATTTTCAGTAGTGGTATGGAAGCACTTAATGGTGTTACAGCTTAGATTAAGCTAAAATAAAATGAAACTTCTTTTGAGCAGGCCCCAGTCATAGTAACAGAGTCTATTTATAGAACAGAATTTATTGTATATCTATTCAGAGAGAGTCTTAATTCTACAGTTTTGTTTCCTTTTTAAGTACATTACAGTCTAAATACCACATAGTAATATAGTTGTCTAACATACTTTGAAGTCCATATCCTTTCATTCTGTAAACTGTTGCTGCTCTGATGAATTCTTTGTGAATGACCCACACCAGAGAAGCTCCCTGAAGGTTGCTAAGTGCACAGAAACCATGTATGTCTCAGCCTCAAAGCATCCAACCTGTTGGTGACTGAGGGAGTGCTCGGAGGAAATCCCGTATGTGCTTACCCTGTTGTTGCGCTTCTCCCTGGGTACCTTTTTGAGGCCTTACTGAAGACAGGATACTGGGGTAGAGATATGATCCAGAACATCAGCTCCTGTAATAAAATACTCCAGTGGCTTTTCTGTCCCAGACTTTGCAGCTGGTTTGGCTGATGCTATGCTCAAATTATAAGAAAATGTATGTGTGTAAGCCCCAGAGAATCCTTTTGATCTTATAGTTCTGGGTTTCTGATAAAAAGCTTTTCTTTACTTTATTTGCATGTGATTGAAGTTCTTTTACCTTAATACCCTGTAAAGACAGTGGTCTAGGATACTTCAAGTCATGTTGTACTTTTCTTTTTGCTTCCAGTCACTTGCTGCGTTTTGAAACTGGGGACAGAGGCAATAAGTAGTAATGAAATTCGAAGTCTTGGTAGAGCATGTCTAGCCAAGGATGTAAACTGTAGACATTTTTCATTATTCTATCAACTTTAAATTTCTGATGTAGGTATACATATTTTCTAATTTAGCATGCAGCAGTATAACTGAACAACTTTTTTTGTCTCTTGTATTTTAGTATATGCAGAACCAAAGTGACCCAGGAAATATAGATCTGACAGTAAATATATTAACTATGGGATATTGGCCAACTTATACACCTATGGAAGTCCACTTAAATTCGGAGGTTAGTGTTTGAGTTCTCCTTTTAAATGCACTTTATGGTGTGGAACCATAATCACTATCATAGAGCGAACTCATGTCTTCATTTAATGTTTTTCTTCTGCCAGATATTTAAGAGGTTTATCTTATTTTAAAGATTCCAAAAATGCAAAAAAATAAAATGTAGTGGATATAATCCCCTTTTTTGGCAGTGATTGTTTAACTCAATATGTCTTTTTCACCTTTTTACTACTAATAATAATCTAAAATTAGATTTAAAATAAAATCAGTGTCCCATTTAACATGGCAGTCAAGCACTTAAAAGTTCAAAACTGTGCAGTTGACCTTAATTTAGTTAATCTTTAGCCACATGGGCTAGGCAATTTGATCTAGCCAATGATACTGTACGTTCTTTTTTTTCCCTGCAACGTGTCACACAAAACTAGCCCCTGCATTTAAATGGCATTTTCCTAAAAAAAGATTCCTTCCCAGTTGAGAGATTTTTGCAGAGCTCCTATCAGTAGCAAGTTAAGTTGAAATATGTATTTGCAGTCCTATTTCCTGCAATACCTTGCTTGATGTGAAATGTGGGAAGCACTTCAGAGGGCAAAGGCAGTAGCGAGGTTCCTGTTCAGTTCAGATGATGTGGTAGCTTTTGTGCTCTTGCTCCTGTGGCATCTGTTCCTCAGTAGCAGACTATTTTGGAAGGATCCAACCTAAGTAACACATCATGAAAATGGAGAAGTAAAAACCCCTTACTTGGAATTAAGGGGATATAAAATACTGGAATCAGAAAAGAAGGCAGGAAGAAAAGAGAAATTAAAAGCTATTTTTGAATTGAGGCTTTCTTTTATGCTTAATAGCACCAAAAAATTCTTGTGCTTGAAAGCAGAATTTTCCTCTTTGGATTTAGTTTTGCACACAAAAATACTTACTATGAAACATTGCTGAGGAGAATAAAGGGATTACACGTGTGAAATCATCTGGCATTGCTGCACTGGTATACACTGATAAACGTTCTCTCTTTGCTTTACAGATGATAAAGCTTCAAGAGGTATTTAAAACCTTTTACCTGGGAAAACACAGTGGTCGAAAGCTTCAGTGGCAGACCACTTTGGGGCATGCTGTCCTGAAGGCAGAATTTAAGGAAGTAAGTTTGCTTAGTTAATGCTTGGCCTGTTGGGATGAAATTTAAGTCAATTATTGGGAATCTAGTCATGTGTTGTATTTTTCATAAAGGTAGTGACATTTCTGTGGCGGAAGCTTCACAATTCAATGCTAATATTTTGTATAGAAAGTAGGCTTTTTGTAATTACGTTGAAATACAACCTAGCTGTCGAAAGACAACAATGTGATGCCTTTTGGTCACATGGGTATTTGTTTTCCAGGAATTGTTGCTCATTTGAATAAAATATGTAATAAAGCAGGAAATTAATAAAAGAAAAAGGATACAGCATCTTTTTATTTTTAATGTGGAATTGTGTTGATCATAGAAATACTGGTGATGCTTTTAATATGCTTCACTGATACAAAAAGAGACTGAAGGGTGTTAGTCATGTAATGACTGTGGTTAAAATTTAAATGCTTGTTGAATTATTTAAGTCTTAACTAACTACATTGTTTTTTAATGCGGTTTTATTTTGTCTCATGAAATATCTTCCGTTGCCAATAAGGCAGCTTAATTGAGCCAGAGCAAAGACAAAAAAACCTTGAATTCTTTTACTAACTCATTCTGAATACGAAGCTCAGAGGTGTAGGCATTAGGTAACAAGTGAAATGGACAGGTTTGTAGTTGTCGATTGACAGAAGTGTTAAGATCTATCTGAAGAGTTTGAGTTGTTTATGACTTTTCCACTGCCTGTTTGTACAAACATTGTGATGATACTGATACTACTAATAATACTGTCACTCTGTATCATAGGAAACCAAAATTATTTTTAATTTCTTTCATATTTGATCAAACACAAAGGTTTCTTAGTTTGTCATCTTTATAAAATTAAACTTAAGTATTAAGAGAGTAGGTATTGATGGCGGCAAAGCCAGAATTTCATATGTCGTAATTAAAACGAAATAAATGATGCGAAGTAAATACAAGGCCATTTTAATGAGCTTCTGCTGTGTGCTGTATTGCTACTGTTAGAGGAGCAAAAAAAGAGGCTTTAAAAATATCCTGTTTCCTCGATACTGCAGTCAGGCAGATTCTTCTGTGTGCTATAAGCATTCTGAAATGCACATCTCTTCCTCCAGAAACAGAAAAAAGAATGTATAGCTTCTGTAACTTACCAGATTTGGGGGACACAATAGAATACACTCCGAATATTACTTCTAATTATTTGATATTTC